AAGTTCCCTGCCTGTTCCTGATCCTGAGAATCCTGGTGCCAAGCCATTGGTCACCCCTGAACTGCCCTCTCTGACCACCTGCCAAATCCAACACATGGGATGCAATTCCGGAGGATCTTTTACTTCGGCTAGCGCACTCGATGCCAGATAGGTTACGGAAAGTAATTGCAGCGGAAGGTGGAAGTACAGAGTACTAAAAAATGTAACGGTCCCAGGAGTATATTGCAACTAGCTGGTGACGACTCTACGTGTTTGCCTCGAGTGGAGAAAGAAGAAGAAAAGAGAGAACTAGATGACAGGAAAACAGGGCAGCTCTTATATGCTCCGGAACACACAGACACTGCCTGCCTCAGGATGACGTTATCATGATACCACGGCCGAGGGTTACCGAGGCCATCATGGGCTCAGCCCATCACAAAAAATCAATGATTTTTCTACTTCCTTCAAAGTATCTCTAATTGCTTGCTTGTTTTGGTTAGTCGGTGGGGCTTGTATCGCGCTAACCTTTAAAACCCCGGGGGAGGTGTAGGAAGTGGACGCGTTAGAAGCCAACTTTGAACGAGGGATAACCGAGTGGTTACTATTACGTGCCTACCCGTTCTTTAAAGGAAGCAAATTGGTGTATACTACTGTTGGAAAGTCGTGGCACTAGAACTTCGGACGCTCAGCTGCAAGTGCCCTGCTGTTGGATGCATGGCTGCCCAACTGAGCGTCAGGCAACGTGAGGTGTAACCCGGGCGCTGGGCATTGAGGTCAGGGCGTTTCCCCCTTCGCTGGAGATGTGGGAGAAGAACAACCTTCAATCAAGAACATCTGGGATGCTCCGAGTATCTCAAACCCACTGTTGTAAGCTCCCATCATCTGTGTGATCACCGTGGAATCGTGGCTGTTGGCTTTCCAACACTGGCATGGAGGGGCTGCGCGCGCATAGACCTTTGCAGCGGGGCTACTCTACATGATGCCTTCCGGTATCACTATTGCTAAGCTGCTCGGAGATAAAAGCACACGACCGACATCAATCTGTTCTCGCCCTTCATTGGCGGAGAGTTTTGATGTTAGTGGTTTTCGTCTTGGGACCAACTTTCTTGGCACGAGACTTCGGCCATTTTTTTTGTTCCTCGTCTGCTTGCGGGTAAATATGGACCGATATTTGCTCTTCATCTTGGTAGCTTGAGGAAGACGATAACGACTACAAATTGGTCGATGCCTATAGTTGAGACTACAACGTCGGATTTTATATAGCATGCAAAGGGAGTTGATTCAGTATGTACTTAGCGCCGTAACACACCTTTTTGGCTCCGGATTGCGGAGAGAGCCTAGCGACTCGGCCTCGCTGAAAACGGCTCTATGTTTATAAACGGCGCTCGGGGAGCCGTTGGCGGCCTTCACCCTCTGTCAAGCAGACACTCGCCACCGGTCTACTTCAGCAAGCACCAAGTGCGTTACTTACTTCTGGCTCCTAGCTTTTAGCCGTATACCAAATCTAACCGGTCCCTGTCCACTTGTCCGCTACATAGCCGTGCTGCTTAAGGTGTAGTTCTGATTGAGCGGCGGCTGCTGTATCTCGAGTGCACGAATGACCAGCGCTGTGATATGGGGAGTGATTTGAGGTTTTGTCGGGGGAGTGTAAAGTAAATAATATTGTCTCTCCCTCTTTCCTTTCCACTTTCTGTAGCTGAGTATTTATTATCCCCTTCTTCCTGGACTTGCCACTTCCCTACTAGCATATTGATACTCAAGTGGTGAATCATATAACCCGAAAACTGACAAATGACTTGACTCCGGCAGACTGCTGATGCAAGGACGGAGAGAGCACATTGAGTGCGACTCGCGGCCGGGCCTGGGGTGTCTGATCTACGGCAGCAGCACGTGTCCGCACGCGAGGAAGATAACGGCGCGGGTCAAGAAGTGGATGCGCATGCACTCCAGCGCAGAACGAACGCGGTGGGGGTTATTTCTTGCGTCACTGGTGCCGCCGCTTGTTAGGTGGGTGTGGATGCTTGGGGTCATGACTCGGGATGTCCTCATTCGAATCGTTTGACCAGTCTGACCGCTTGTCTGGGTGAACTCAATTGTGTTGTTTGCCTACGATGAGGTAGTTGCGCTGGTCATGTATACTACTACTGCTGGGAGTACCATGGCTTGTTTCTGAGTTTCTCGGACTCAGGGATATTTTAGCGTCTGATTCTGGATACTAGCAACGAGTCATAATACCTGCACCTGATTCAAAACTATCGGTAACCCGTTGCCAGTCCCCTGAAAGGGCTAACGTTGGAAAATGTAACGGGCTGATCCCGAGCTTGGCCACACTCGTACAAACGTGGTCCACCAGACCCGCTGGATGAAGCTATATTCCCATTTGACCACAGCATCGAACTGTCTGGCACGACGTCCCGAGCACTTTTGCCCACCTTATCGGGGAGGCTGCAAGCCCCAACGACATATTTCCCTTTCTCTTTCCTCAAGTTTAGTGTAACGTTACTCGTAGAGTAGTCTCTAGATAGTTGCCATACACTCTCAGGCACCTTACTGACAGCGCCCCGGAATCAGCAGCTTGTGTTCTGTTGGTATAACATAAACCGATTCAAAAGAAAAAAACGAGAAGAAACGAAAGAAAAATCGCTTTGTGTCATCAGCGACACTCCAATGGAGGTGACGACAGCTCCGCTGGGTGTAGAGCACCGCAAGATGACTTGAAAGATCAAAGACACAACTCGACGAAACTTGTCTGTGTTGCAATCTACCTACATACTACATCATACCCATAACACCATAATCGCGACGCCCGTGCTCATACACTTCTAGGAGCGAGCCAGACGCATCCGCCCCGTCGCTTGACTTGATGCCAATTTGCATTCCAAATCAAGCCTCAGACTCGAACGTAGGAAAGAGATCGTAGTTGTCGGTAAACGGATCTCCCACGGCGAGCATCTCGGCGAGCCCCGACGATTCGCAAACGGCCCGGTGGAGCAGCCGCGTTGCTTCGGTCTCATTATGCAGGTCGCGAGACATCAAGGCGCCCGGGTCTACCCGGGCGCCCCGCTGGTTTGAGTCAAGGTCAAGCTCCCAGATCTCGTTGGGGTTGTTCCAGTTGACGACGAGAAAGCGGGTGATCTTGCCTTGGGCTTTGAGGCTCAGAAGGGCGGGTCTCTCCTTATTCCACCAGATGTTGGGGCCGTTGAAGGCGTACTGGCCCATTGTTCCTGGGGTCTGGGTCATGATGACCACTTCACCGCTGCAGCTTCTTGCCATGGCTTCTGACATGTTCTCAAAGTACTGGATCGTGGGAGGCACGCCCCTGTCTGCCAGCGTCTTCTTAAGGGTGTAGATGGAATTAAGCCAGTTCCCGGCTCTGTCAATACCGTAAAAGTCCCGATATTGACCATTAAATCTTGGATCGGTCTCCATGATCTTGTTTGGCCAGAGATGCTGTTTCAATGACGGCCCAAGTTAGCAAAGAGGCGCAGCTTGGATGGCAGGAGACGTGGAGGGAAAGTTTTTGTCAGGTACGGTACTCTGCTGCTACATACCCAGATGCTGAACTTGCTCTTGCTACAGGCCCTGTCCAACAATGTCAGCCATTTCATCCCTATTATTAAGCGTGACTAGGACTTATTTCGGGAGCAAAAGCACCCCATTGGGACCAAGGCAACTTCCGTAACTCCCGAGACATTTTGAAAGAGGCAAAAAAGCGCGGATTTGACGTACCAGTCCGAAGCCTCCTTGCTAAGACTCGCACCGTCCGGCTTAGGGACTCTGACATAGGCCGTATAGAAGACGCACTTGTTCTTCAAATCCTCTGGGCGGCCAACCCGCATATACTGCTGCATCTTGGCGGTGGTCAAGCTGTCGAGAAGTGGTCTTCCCGTCAGTTGCAGGACATTTTGCGGGGGACAGTAGAAACATCCAGGGACACGAAGGAGCGGGCCGTATTCGTCCATTCCGTCGGGATTCGCTCGTCGCCCGTGTGGCTCGCTTTGGTTGTGCACGCCGTGCATGCGGGGCACGAGAGGCCCATAGACCACCTCAGCGGCGCCATACTCGCTGTCTCGATGGTAGCGGCGCTGGCTTCGGGGCGGCCCTGGGATGAACTCGATGGAAGCAGACGGGCGTTTGCCGGCTAGACACGATGTTGCCGCAAACAACAACCAGGCGATGAAGAGGAAAACGGTACTTGATGTAGTTTGCAACATTTTGTGAACCAAGTAGATTGACGGGATCAGAAACAGGGAGAGAGTAGGACTGAGCCTCCGTTCTCATCAAATGCGGAGGAGGTTGGCAAATGCGGGGGGAGCGGCGCTGTCAGAAGTCTGGATCTTCGTCCTTTCGACAGAAATCAAACTTCCTTGAGGTTCAGGATTCAGGCACAGCAATTTGGCCTGCAGCTGCAGGAACGAGGTTGAATCACGGCTAGTTCGAGCTCTTCATAGCTTCACCCCCTTGCCAAGTTCTGCTTACCGGCTCCCAATCCCGGCACTTGGGGGCCGAGCAAGGTGGAAGGCCGCTAAACAACTGAATTAGTAATGACGGCACCAGTGGTTGTGCGGCACGGCAGAGGAAGATTGTGCTGAGCGGCATTTAGGCGCCCTTGGACTGCTTGGAGTCTTGGTATTGTTGCTATTCCGGCCATATTGCCTAGGTACTACCACCTATGCAGCATGGGGAGGTTACATGGCGAAATGCTCTACCTTGTCTAGGTAGTATCGAACCCGAATATTGAGCTGGCATACTGTACATTGAGGTCCCTGCAGTTTAATTAGGTTCCTGTACTCCGTAGCCCACAGACCTCGATACCGCCGCGGTAGGCCGCATCGGGACACCCGTTGACTCCTACCTCGACATGCGCTCCCCCCGCCCCCGCCCCCTTCCCTCCCCAAACCATCCACCAACTACCTCGCTCCCTTCTCCTGCAACCTAAGGAGCCGACTAAGGTATGAGTGCGGCGAAGATCCGCCCGTCCCACTTCAGCTGACTGCACCAGCACACACTCCCCCTGATCAAAAGGAAATGAACATCTTGGCTTTGCTCAATCCACCAGTGTCTACCGTATATGGTGACTCTGACTGAGCGAGTCTAATTAGTCCGGTACCATTCCTGATCGAAACTGAAGTTGGTCTGCTGCAGCCACAGCTTGAACTCCTCGGCGCTCCACCAGGCGCTGTCGTCGTCGAGCACGCGGTACTCTTCCGGGTTCTTGCGCTTGGCCACCGGGATACGGCGCGGATGAGGTGCCGCGGCGTCCTGCAGCTCAAAGCCGCCGAGCAGCCGATCCTGGCACACCTCGACCCACTGTTCCTGGCGGTTGTTCTCGAACCCCGTTGTCTTGTACTCGACAAACGTCTGCGCCTTAATCTCCACCCCGCTGAAGCTGCCGTCTCGGGTGCTCCACGCCGTGCCTTCGGCCCCCACCACAGCCAGGTTGTGCACGCTTTCTTCCATGTCCCGCCGGCGTTTGGCCAGGTATTCCCGTAGCGGCATCGGCACCCTCTCGTGCGGCCGCAAAAAGGTCACTTTGGCAAATTTGATCTTATCCCAAGACGAGGACGAGATGTCACGCAGTTTACACCGGCGCGCCGGCGGGAGAAATGCCGCCGTAGTCGAGTGGTTGCCCAGGGTATTGGGCAGGACGAAAGATAAGGTGCGCAAGAACACGGCCCGCAGCCGCATGATGTCGGCCAGCTGATCGTGCGGGTAAGTGCCGGTGACCTCGACGGCGATATGGCGCAGATCCCGAGCGAAAGATGCAACTTCGGGCTTGAAGAGAAACCTGTACATGGCGCCGGCCTGGTCCCGGCCCCAGTAGAGCGTGTCAATAGCCGGGATGAAGTGACGATATGGCACGGCGAAACCCGCGTTCGGGGAGTACCGCAGCCGGAGGCCTCCAGACGTGAGGGCGGCCTGTCGCGCGGTGCGGCAGACGTGAGCGATGGCGGGCCAGGCAGTGTCGACGACGAAGGGAAGCGCAGGCTCTTCCTCCGCAATGGGAAACTCCATGATCTGCAGGGGCCAGGCGATGCAGACCTCGGGTTCGGGGTCGGGGAGCGCTAGAGCCCAGATGGCGAGTTGAAGCTCGACCGGAAAGTTGCAGAAGAGAGGAAATGATGTCATGGTAGAAAAACGTTGTTGAGAATAGGCGCGACTGCAGGTGAAAGTTATCGTAGTCAAGTTGGATGTATGAACAGTGAAGTTCGCAGGACACCAGCTTATGACGTGAGGGGTTGGGTTAAATTAGGGTACTTGCAGGTTGGTACTGCAGCGGGACATGATACGCCTGCAGTGTAACTGTAGGATGGAAATTGCACTGAACGATTGGTCGAAGCCGGCAAACAATCTGTCCCTGAAAAAATATCGTTAAGTTAGTTAACATAACAGAACGTTGACGTTAGTTCAAAATGTTAGGGGGGCCGGGGGTGAAGACAAAGAGGCAAAGTGAAAAAGACGAGGTGAGCAAAGTTTTCTAACTACTGTATCTTGCCCATTTTGGGTTCATTTCCACTATCAAAACTATCAAAACGTAACTGAAACAGATGCTGTCGTCGAAGAATTAAATAAATTAAAGCCTGATCCCCTTTCCGTCGCCCGGCCATGCTACTATTCAACTGCCACCACTAGTCGTCTAGTCTGCATATCATTATACGCGTGAGACTCCGACAGGTGTTCTCACTGTACTTTAGATCAGGCCGACGCAGACATATGTGTCCAGCCACAGGGACTGGCAGTTCTGGCCAACGCCAGAGTTCCACGCGATAAAATTGGCCAAGCTAATGCCAAACCTGGTAGCGATGGACTGGCAGCCGTCGCCAGAGACAACTAATAATGGGATCCGATGTCAGCGTCGTCTCGATCAAGTTACCTTAGAAAGGCTTACCCTTGTAGAAGGTGTCGCAGTTGTTCACCATGCCTGGTTGTGTTGGCGTGGGCGTTGCAATCTGGAATTCTGCTGTCAGTGCATGTAAGACCAGATTCTGTTCAACGGGTTACTTACGCCATTGCCAGTCCTCGTCGTGGATGTCGTCATAGTCGTGGTGGTGGGCAGCCTGCTCTTCGCCGCGATGCACACGTATGTGTCAAGCCACAGGCCCGCGCAGTTGCTGCCCACGTACGGGTTCCATGCCAGGAATTGCTGGAAGCTGATACCGTACTGCGAGCTGATGGTCTGACAGGTGTTGCCGCTGACGACAAAGTGGAAGCCCGTGCAGTCCGGCGTCATGCCCTCGCGGGTCGGCGTCGGGGTTACCACTCCATTGCCAGTGGTGGTCGAGGATGGCGTCGATGTCGTCGTGGAGCCAATGACTCCCACGCACAGGTATGTGTTCAACCACAGAGTCTGGCAGTTGGTGCCGATGGCCGGGTTCCAGGCAACGAGCTGTGCTGTGCTGACACCGTATTGCGACCCGATGTTGACGCAGCCGTCACCGCTGACGACGAGGTGAAACTTGTTGCAGCTCTTGGTCATGCCTTCCTGAATCGGGCTGGGCGTTTGGATACCGTTTCCGGTGGTTGTTGTCGTCGGAGGCGACGAAGTAGTTGCCGTGCCGCCGATGACGCCAACACAAACATACGTGTTGAGCCATATTGACTGGCAGTTGCCCCCAATTGCCGGGTTCCAGGCCAGGAGCTGAGCAAAGGAAATTCCATAAGTAGACTGAATGGATGTACATCCGTCACCGCTGACAACAAAGTGAAACTTGTTACAGTCCTTGGTCATGCCATCTTGGATTGGGGTGGGAGTCTGGATGCCATTTCCAGTTGAGGTCGGGGCGGCAGAAGTTGTCGTCGTGGTTGGTGTTTGAGTCTCGGGAGGAACTCCCCAATTCTGCTCCACGCAGTAGGAATTGCCCACAATGAACTGGCAGGACCCAGCCAAAGAAGGATTCTACCGGGGCGTCAGTAAGCCACGATGCAGACGGCTCACACCACTCGGAGTTTTCAAGAACTTACGTAGGCAGCGAGCTGCTCAGGGGTGATGAAGTTTGCCGAGCTTACGCTTGGGCAGGTATCGCCGGACTCGGCAATATGCCACAAGGTGCAATCCTCGATGGTGTTTGGGTCCGCTGTGGTGGGTGGCTCGACCCAGAACACCTGGGACAGGCCTCCGCGGACAAAGATTGCGCAACCAATGGCAAAGTCAAACGGCCTCATGGTGTTGATAATTAATCTCGAGCCTGTGGTGAAAATAAGGGGTGATCGACAGCCGAGGTATCAGGAGACGCAGTCTTATACGGAGCAAGTACTCGACCGTTCTTCAAGACCTCTCCAACCTCCGAATACCGGATACTATTGCCAAGTCCTGCCGTCAATGGAGGATACATGTTATCTTACTTCTTTGGGCTTGGTCCTTGTGCTTGACACGAGGGTCCCGGTCGAGGGGATGCCGAAGCGATCTTGGGTCATTGACGGACCATCCGGCACCAGTAACCGTGAGATTTACTTCTGCACGTGCGCCTGTTATCATGCGGCGCAGCATATGAAATCAAATAGTGTAGTTTAACTCCGTAACTCCGCGGTGGCCTTTGTACTGTAGCAATTTGCACAGCTCCGGGCTCGGGAGAGATTGCCATGGCATTGAGCGTCGGGTTGCATTGCAACCCGCAGGAGATGTGATCTGACTGCGCGCGAGCATACACGGATGACACTAACAGTACTACGGTAGTAGTTACCAGGTATGCAGCATCTCTCGCATATGCCAAGACAGAGGTTCATTATGGATCCCTTGGTTGGCTCAAGGGGCATGGAGCTGGTCAGATGGACGGATAATAGGTAACGCAGGGGACTACTCCATGCAAGCGGCAGCCTACATGCCATTCAGATATGGAGATAGTTAGATACCTGCTGTACCAAGGCTCTGAGCGTTGTATGCGCCTGACAGGCAAAGAAGAATTACTAAGTTATCAGGTAACCTTGTTCTCCTGCCAATCAAAGGCCCCCTGGTCCCGGAGAGGGTTTCATCGCAGCTGCCCATCGATATGTAAGGTATCAGTATCCGTGGGGGACAATTGACAATGTTGCACCAGCGGCACGAGCGCACGACAGGACTTTGTAGGTTGATGCGGTTCGTCACGCGGCAATCCCCCCGGGCCACACCCCTAATCCACGTCTCCCGTCGATTTCCTGCACCCAGCAAACTGAAGCAATAGTTTGATGTGATGAGATCCTTCGACTGAAGCCAACCATCTCACTTCATGACTTGGTACCGACTTCTAGGATGCCCTGATGGAACCCCTCACCGTAACTTCATGGATTTGCCCCTGCTCAATCATCCCTGAGCACCAGCCGGTTCCGTTTTACCGCCCCCAAGTCTATTTTGAGAATACACAATTTCAAAGCACCATCGAGACCGGGTACCACCATGCCAATACGTTAGTAATGCCAAGATGGCTACAGGACGGGACATTGTTCCAACGCCCGGAGTTGGCATTTTCGCAGCTTGGGAAGACAAGAGCTGAGTGCATTGGGAGAGCTGACATTGGGAGCGTTGATCTCGTCTGGTTGCCATAAAGTCATGCTCTTATCAAGATACAGACACTAAGGTACGCAGAGTACCTTATGCTAGGCACACAGGAGTGATTCTAATTCGGCAATGAAAGATGATCAACCAGCATTCCCCGGTTAAGCACCAGTCCCTGGGAACTGCGGCGTCCCCACGCAGTAGTCATAGTAAAGACGAATTCCGGAGCCTGTAATTTCCGAGTTCGTCAGCACTGGCGCAGAGTCCGAGTCAATTTTGGGCTCAACTTATATTCACTTACAGTTGTTCAGGACGGTCGGGTTCCAAGCGACGAAACGAGCATGCTGTAAGCCATACCTTCTCTCGATGGTACCACAGGGGTCATTAGCAGCTGGTGTGCGCACAATTCAGTAAAGAACAGATACGTCTTGATTCGTGGACTTTGGGCAATTGAACTGACGGTTAATATCCGTGGCCATGTGCCACCGGGTGCAGGTGGCTATGGTTCCTGGTGCCCTGAAATGTCGCACGCTGGTGCAGTAGGTGTGTCCTTTGGATCGTACAGTCAGCTCTATCCGCTGCTGTGAGGTGTCGAATTCAATGATAAAATATGGTAAACAAATAGCATACCTGAGTGGAAATTCTCGCAGTTAGGGCCCAGACCGGGATGCCACTGCAGAAAACTAGTCCTGTTCAGGCCATACCAGGTCACGAAGCCGTCGCAGGTGCTACGTGTCCCAGACTCAGCCACCCGTCTTTCTACACAGTACTGCGTGATGTTGGCAGACTGGTCGAGGTCGCGCTGGGCGCAATACTGCTCCCCGGCCCAGAGCAAGCAGTCGCCGTTGACCAATCTCGAGGCGAGCGAGGGGTTCCATGACACCAGCTGGTCCATGGACACCCCGTAGAAGGCGGCAAAGTCGGAGCAGCGGTAGCTGTCCTCGTTAGACGTGGCGTTTACCCTGACTGGCGGCGTCCGATGAAGATGGCAGTCGAGGACGCTGCCGTTAGCGATCGGGTCCACGTATCCCGCCATCGGGTAGGGCTGCGAGAAGGTAGGGGAAGGGGCCGAGGCAAACTCGGTCGGCGGCAGAGTAAAGTAGGTCCTGTGTTTCACATCACATCGTCAGCTCATCGCGTGCTCATCTCGCCATGCACTACAAAGCCGGTCTCTTCACCTACTCTGGCTCAGAAGTTGTAGTTGACGGTTCCTCGGGAAAGGGGTTGACCCAGTCCCCGCCGGGAGTGGACACGCAGATGACATTGCCCCCTTTCGCCAAGTGATCGATGTTCTCACAGTACTCGCCCAGCTCGGGGTTCCAGCTGACAATTTGAGTCCAAGTGACGGTTTCCTGCCCGGCGATAGTGGCGCACGTGTCGCTGAGGTCGGCCTTGAGCTGGTAAGGCTTGCATTTCTTTGCCGATGGAATGCACACTGAGCCGGAGGTCGGGAAATTGTGGCAGGCCGCCTCGAGATTATTAGCCGCGAGCAGGTGCACAGATCCAATGCCCTGCGCCAGAGCGATGGACCGGCAGTTGTCGCCGGACTGGATTGTGTACGTGGTCCCTTCGCATGAGGGTGTTCCAGTAGGCGCGCTTCAAGGCGTATTAGTTACATCTGTTCCATCCGTTGCAAAGTTGATATATGCTTACATGGTCACCCAGCTCGTTGTAGTGGCGAGTGGTGTCAGGGACATGGACGAAATCTGGCAACTCGACGTAAAGGATTCGTACTGGCTTTTCAGGAGACTCGACGTCGCGCCAATTGGCATCTGGAGCCGCGTGCTGATGAGAGAAGCAGCGCAGGTGTGGCAAGCAACGCTGGGTGCTGGTTACGGTTGTAAGTCCACCACGCTCGCATCTTTCAGACGGTCCTCATAACGAAGCTCGCTTCACTTACGAACAGCAGTCGACGTCCCTTGGGTTATTGCTTCTCGAAGAATGGCATTGCAGAACTGCCCTTGACTATAATTTCTGGCCGTGAGCGCCCACGGCCCTGCACACAAAGCAAAACAGGGAAATACCATCATCAGGGTCAGACTCACGGGTTCTTGAGGCAGAGGGTAGAATACCGTTCAAGTATGGTCTGGCCCAGAAAGCCGGCCATCACGGTGGCTTGACCTTCGACGTAACTGCTCGAGGCACAGGCGCCCAGGACTCGCCTCACCCAGCTCGTCAACGAGCTGGTACAAGTCGTCGTGCAAACGGTTGCCAGCGTCGCATCCGACTCAAACTTGCCATTTCGCCCGGCGTCCAAGATTTTTGGATCGCAGCTGACAAATGAGTTAAGAACATTGATGCAAGTGGTTGTGAGGTTATGATACGGCGCAGTGATGTTGAGGAAGGAGACCTGCTGGGCTTGGGAGGGCCTCAAGCTGAGGAGTCCCAAAAAGAGGAGCCACAGCAGCATGATCGTGTTGCTGTGATGGAACAAACGAAACAATGGAAGAACGGCGAGAGCTGGAGAGAGACGAGCTGGATGGGGCAGGAGGTGATCCCAAGTCCAAACCCATCACTGGCAAGAAGCATGACTAGGTACGTTCCCTTACCTTTCAGGTCGTGACATCGAGCTTCGGACCCCGCTCTCATGCCAAGGTTCCAGGGGCGCAAACATAGCGGTATGCTGGTCGAATCATGTGGTTCCCGGAACTGTCGAAGGAACTCAACATCAATTTGCCCAGCGGCACGGATGCAGGTTGCGAATTCGTGCATGGTACCTTGCAGCTTACTACAGCAACACCCTACCCCCATCGTCACCACACCCCCCTCTTCTTCAATCACTGCATGGGGGGAATCCATGACAAAAGAACCCCCAAGTACCTAGGAGCAGTATCTCGCGATCCTTGCTATGGTCACACGCAGGCCGGCTTACGCTTAGGGGCCAAGCAATCATTGAGCACGAGAATCGCCCGTTCCTCAGTTTCTCCCTTCAAGTTCACATTAATTGTTGTTCCCCTCCTTCTCCCCTTTTTCTACTATCCGACGCTGCCGAGTGCTTCCCACTCGCGCCCTCGCTCCCTCACGGTGGACATTTGTGGTTCGGAAACCAAGATGTTTACCCCTAACTTGCTGCATTGGCTCTGTCTTTCTTTTCTGTATTTGGCCTTTGGGAAAGCAGATGACGATCTGCCCTTGACCGCCATCTCACCTGTCCGTCGGGGGCTTCTCGCGAGCAGACAGGAGCTACCGGAGGGAACGTGTACGTCAGAAATCCCCTGTGCCAACAAGGCATGCTGCAACGGGATCACGGGTATTGTAAGTCTTATTTCCCATGAAATCAAGTGCTTTGGAAGGGTCCTAACACCAGGTTTACCTAGTGTGGCTTCGATCCCGTTGAGCACTGCGGCGCCACTTGCACGTCCAAGTGCGATTCCAAGGCCGAATGCGGCAAATATGCCGATCCCCCAGGCAAACTGTGCCCCATCAATGTCTGCTGCAGTAAACACGGCTTTTGCGGAACCACAGATGTATGTATTCTACGCTTGGTCACCAACGACAGAGACAAAAAGAAGCGTCAAGTGCTGACTTTGCGGGATGTGGAATACAGGAATTCTGCAGCGATGGATGCCAGAGCAAATGCGAGCAGCCTGGGTCTACGAGTCCACACACGACTGATGTGCGCGAGCTGGTAATTGGCTACGTCGAGGGCTGGGCCTTCACGCGCCGGGGTTGCTCACAGCGGACGCTCGACGCCATCAGGATCGACTCCCTGACCCATCTGTTCGTCTCGTTTGGATACATCACGCCGGACACCTACGAAATCTACCCGATGCGCGGTGTCACCGAAGAAAACCTCCTGGCGCTGACCGGCCTCAAGGAGCGCGCCCCAGGGCTCAAGGTGTGGATTGCGCTCGGAGGATGGTCCTTCAGCGACAACCACACCGAGACGCAACCGGTATGGGGCGACCTCGCAAGCACCCCGGTAAAGCGCGAGCGCTTTCTGGATCAGCTTGAAAAGTTCATGATTCACTACGGCTTTGATGGTGAGGAATACCATATTGAACAACCAGTTCAATGTTGCCGATTCTGGTCGAACCGCTAACACCTTTCCCAGGCGTCGACTATGACTGGGAGTACCCGGGAGCCGGCGACAGAGGAGGCCACCCGGAGGACGGCCCGAATTTTGTCTCCCTTCTTGAGGATACAAGGAGCCGTTTCAGGGCACTCGCGCGGGGATGGGGCATCTCGTTCACCGCGCCGTCCTCGTACTGGTATATGCAGCACTTTCGGATCGGGGAGATGATGGTGTGTTTTACCTCGACCACCTTACTATTAAAAGCTTCATGAATATGCCCGGAAGGCGTTCGAGGCTGACAGAAGCGACGGGGCCTAGGAACACGTGGATTTCGTGAACCTCATGACCTATGACCTGTTCGGCAGTTGGGACAAGGACTCGGACTGGATCGGGCCATACGTCTACGGCCATACCAACCTCACAGTCATAAAACAGGCGCTCAATCTGCTCTGGAGAAACGGTGTGCCAGCAAACCAAGTCAACTTGGGGCTCGGCTTTTATGGAAGGTACGACGCTCATTTGAGTCTCGTCCCAAGACGCCGCATCCCCAATGAGTAACGTGCTTACTTGGTGACTTACAGGACCTACGTACTCAAAGACCCGCATTGCGATCGGCCAGGCTGCGAGTTCACAGACCCTGGCAGGGCTGGCCAATGTTCGGTAAGTTCACCAGCCCACGTCGGCCTTGCCGCGAGAGTCTTGGTACAGAGTCAACAGACACTCACCACTGCTTGGGCGCTCTGTAGGGCCAAGGAGGTTACATGAGCTACCAGGACATAGCCTGGGTTCGCAAAGAGAGTGGCGCAATCGTTACCACCGATCGGGAGAATGCCATCAAGTACTTCCGCTACGACGACAACCAGTGGGTTTCGTTTGACGACGAGGAAACACTGAGGTGGAAAGTCGAGTTTGCCAACGAGCAGGGGTGAGTGAGACGCGCTCCACATTCCGGCCACCCGTTTCAGGGGTTAATGAAAGACGTACCACCTCGTCAGCTTGCGGGGCTTGTTCATATGGGCTGTCACGCAAGACACGGCCAACAATGACCTGCTCGATGCTGTCCTCCAGCCTGACGGGTTGGGCAAGTTCAGAGATCGGAACGGCGTCCATTCGGGTATCGATGACTGGGACACAAGGGTACTCGACAGGTGTGTCTTCTCCGGTAAGTGTACAATGCTCTCTTGGTCCAGGATCCCTATGCCTCCTCCGAGTCTTTGCCTTGCATCACTGACGGCTGACATTCTACGCCACAAGACTGCAACGGCGACTGCTACCCGGGCTACCTTGAAGTTGCCCATATCCGCTGTGACGCCGAGGGGAGCGTACACCCAAGAAAAAAGCTCTGCTGCCCCTTCGGCTCGGCACCAAATCCCAACGACTGCAGATGGAGATCGGACAAATGGGGCTTTTGGTGCGGCGTCCCCGGGACAGGTTCCATCTTCAACAAGTGCGAGGACGGGGAACAACGGGTCATCAGCGACCATTGGTTCATTGACGACCAGGGCAGGGATGATGTCTGCTCAACGGGAACCAATGCCGACTACTGCTGCGCGACGGAACGCGACGCCGTGTGTGAATGGTCGGGCAAGTGCGCCAGGAATGGCGCGCCGTCCCCTTGCAAGAGCGGCATGACAGCATACATGAAGGACAACCTTGGCATTAGATGGGCCAGCCACTGTGATCCGTACGCGGGCGAGTGGGAGGTCTTGTGCTGCGAGGACGGCGTGGAGCCCGATTGCCGCTGGCTCGGCGACCCCAACAACCGATGCGCGGGAGAATGCGCTCCCGACGAGGTCAACTTTGGAAGACACCACTTTGGTGGCGGCGAGCAGTGCTATGACTCGCGTGCGGTGAACGACCGTAATTTTTACCAGTTCGAAGAAGACATGCCCGACTACCAGAACGGCAGAGTCATGTGCTGCAAACGGGACTCGGTCAGGGTCAAGACCAAGCCGCTCCCCGTCCCGCTGGAGAATCTATTTGACGAGGAGATTGGAGCCGACGAGGAGCAGAGCTTTGACATCGATGTCGACCTCAACCGAAAAACCGGCGAGAGCAGCCACCCCAACGACAACAGCTTTGGTTGGCACATCATGTCGGGCCCGCCCGACCAGCTTCAGAACCTAAATAAGCGCGACGGCTCCCACTGGGAGGTCTATGGCTGCGACGCCGAGCTGCACGAGGGACGCCAATCAGCCCGTCTGGTGTGCACCCGCGACCGGAACTCGGAACACAATTGCGACGACATCCTCCTGGGCGGGGTGGAGGACACGGTCCTGGAGATGCCGCCGCATTGCGGGCCTGGCAAGTACGCCCTGGCCGTGAGCCTTGAGCCCATGCACGATGCCAGCACCGATAACATCCTCTCTCCCCGCCTCAAGCGCCGGCTGCCCGTCGGCGCCACCGTCTACAACCTGACGTTCGACTATGGCTTCCACCGCCTGCGGGGCCGCCAGGACAACAGGGTCAAGCTTCGTATCGACTACAGCAATGCCAGACACTACTGGAACCAGATCGTGGGTAGGTCATGGTCTCATCCCCTCAGTGAAGGTAGCGGAGCTATCAAACTCGAGCCAATGCTTACCTTACCTCTCCAACTCCCCAGCCGCCAGCCCCAACGAAAAGAGAAGCATGGAGGACCTCGAGCACATCGTCAAGCGGGATCACGACGGCGACTGGAAGCGCTACCTGGATCACTCGTACAGGATGGACCGGCGAAACACACCGCCCGAGGAGCTGCACCTGCTTCACGAGCGGTGGTACTCGGCTAACCTGATCGACTGGATTGCGAAAATGAGGAACGTGCAGATGAACGTCGACGTACTCGACCAGCGTGTGCGAAAGTCGTTCATCTACACCATCCTGCACGAGAGGCGAGATTGTATGCTTAACGACTTCACCCAACTAATTTTGGAGGCCGACATACACGCACGGATCACGGCAGATGTCCAGACATCGGGCGTCTTGACGCTAATTGGAGATCTGGTCAGTCATAAGGCCTCGCTCTGACACCCTTTCTGCTACCGCGAGCTAGATGCTGATTGAGGATAAAACAGAATGACATGTCCTCATTCCGACACTCGTATGTCAACTTCCGCAACAAAGGAGAAATCAAGGCTTCGCTTGTGTTCGCTGCCCACGGCGAACTGCGCATTCCATACATGGAAGAGACGCTGCTGGGTGAGTACTTACCCTTCTTCCATTTCCGTCTCCCGTGCGATGCTGACCCGGTTTGGTTGTGGTACCCAGGAATTGCGCCCATTGGAGCCAGCTTTAAGATTCCAGGAATCGTGACCATCGGGCCAGAGTTCAAGCTCGTTGCCTCGGTCGAAGGAAAGGTCGTTATCGACGCGTGAGTTTAAGCCCTTGAATCTCACAGCCATTGATTAGTGGTCAGAGCCGCGGTTGACAAGGCCTTCAGGGATGCTCGAGTCGACTTCGAGGTCGCCAGCTGGGATTACTCCCAGCGATATCCTGCCGAGAACGACGAGTTCCTCGACCCGGAGAAGGACGACCCGGACCATCCGAAATTCTCCACCTCCAATGAGGGCGGCGGTCCCGTCGAGTTCAACTGGCAGGTGACGGCCGAGGGCGTCGTCGAGCTGCATCTGTGAGATCTCACCGTGAAGTTCGCTGCCACGTACCTGAATCTCTTTGTGCTTACAACAAGCTTCCGCAGTATCCCCATGTTGACTTTCGGAGTTGTATTTGACCCCAAGTGGGAGGTGCCCAGGACTGCGGTAGGAATTCAACAAAGCCAGGAGCCGTACGGTTCACGAGACAGAATGCTTACTCACACAATTTGCAGGTCGATCTTGCTGTCGATACCTATCTGCGAATCCATGGGTATGCCGCGGTCGGCAGCCAGCAAGACTTTGAGTACTGCATCGGAGCTGAGGCAGGATATGACACGTTTGCGCAGGTCACAGCTCCGTAAGTACCTATCCATCCCTCCTATTGATTATCTCAGAGGACGTAAAAACTGACAGGTTACACGCAAGAACTCTGTTCGGAGTGAACCTGAATCGGAGGTGGTCGCTATTTTCCGACGAGGTAAGTGCTCGTGTCAACCTCAGGTGTGCGCGCCTCTTGTGGGATAACCGCTTTGCTAACTAGTCCTTCTCAACCTTCAGAGGAGCATCTATCAAAGCCCTTCTTGCCCAAGCGAAAGTCTCCGGCGCGGATTGCTTTTGGACGGTCCTTCTGCCGTCAACACGGCCACGCCAGTGGTCAAGCTTGTCGAGGCGAAGCCGGGGTTCACTCCCCTAGAAACTTTCAGCCTCCACTCCTCATTTTAAGTCAGCTATTCTTGGTAATTGAATTGTTTCCTTGTCACGTTACCTAGGAACATGTTATCAATCTACCATTGCAGATCATATACCACAGCATAATGCGTAGGGAGACGCAAAGGCAGACTGGACTTTTATTATCAGTCTGAGCGCCACCAATCACCGTTCACCGCTTCCGCGGCTGCAAACCGCTCGTACATGTGTAGACTACATGGCAATCAAGCGATCGTGAGTGACGTTAACGGCCCAACAAATTACGTACATGCTGTTAAGTACACCTCCACCGGGGCTTTGAAAGTTAGCTTAATACATGCCCCACCTCCCTAACCAGAATAAGCAGCAAGGAGTATACGGATTAGATGTGATGGGCTGAGCCCATGATGGCCTCGGCAACCCTCGGCCGTGGTATCATGATAACGTCATCCTGAAGCAGGCAGTGTCTGTGTGTTCCGGAGCATATAAGAGCTGCCCTCTCTTCCTGTCATCTAGTTCTCTCTTTTCTTCTTCTCTCTCCATTCGAGACAAACTCGTAGAGTTGTCACCAGCTAGTTGCAATATACTCCTGGGACCGTTACATGAATGAGAGTGGATGGTGAAACTAACAATTCGGGCTGAATATAGTTCAGGTCGAGGCCCACATGCATCCCTCCAGGGTATTTAGTAAATACTACTCCGTAGTCCCGAATTCATTCACCTTTCCTTGTGCCTATGAAAAAGGACAAGAAAAATCCCCACATTCTACCACATGATTCAACGGCCGATGACGGATCCCCGGCGGCCCGACCAGCGCTGCCGTCAGATCAATCAACCAAGTTTGGACATCGGATTTGATTTGATTGAGGTATCCTGCTTACATATCTGAATTGATTGCATTGATTGAGTTGATCTGACTAGGTCTGATGCCTGGGGTTGTCCGATGAGGCTATCCGCGACCTGCTCTGTCCTCCTCCGAGCTCGACGCAACCGTCCCGGGTCCAATTCTTCATCAATTGCAGTGTCCCAATCATGGACTCCTTGAGGGAGTGCAGTTGTGACGTTATCGTCAGATTCGCTGTGCTGAATGCTCTCGCAGTCGTCTGCCATCGCAGGTATCGCTAGGATGTCCAACGCAAACTTACTGAGCCTTGGAAACGAGCTCCTGTGCTCAACCCACCATTGAATAAGGTCAGAAACTTCTTCAGGCTCAAGTCGGTAGTATCGATCAAGCTCGCTGCCCGCTTGGGTGGGTCGAGGATGCCTGCTCTTGATCCATTGAGTAAACCTGCTTGGATCCTTCTGCTGAGCAGGCGTCATCGGCGACGGCGAGGGAGTAGAAGTTCCCTTCAGGATATCTTCATTCCCAGAGGTAGGATACCACATCTCGAGATATTCCTTCAGCTGTCGCTTGGCATCCCTCAGCTGCACTGTTGAGGTCCAGTTGGCCTCAAGGAACCTTATGCCGAGGCCAGGTGTAGAATGATGGATTCCCCGAGGGAGGTGTAATATTCGTTCAACTTCACTGATACCGGAAGGTATCGCGCAGGGTTAGGGCTAGGTGTTATACCCCACCATTGGTGGGGTGGTTGTTTGTATGTAGTTAAGATAAGGCTGCCCCACTCTGGATGGTGGGATATCTCCCACCACTGCAGTTGCTGCTTGCAACTACGGATCCGTACCAGAGGACGATAACCTGACTTCTCCCCGAATACATGGCATTTGCCCTCTTTTCCCAGCATACGGCTCTTTTCCGTATCATTCACCCAAGCGTTGTTGATGCAGGCCCTCATGTACGTTTTCTCGTCCGCTGCTAAGTTGGAGATACCGCTCACTGACTGGGCGGTGTATGTCGATCGAATATGATCAGGCAGGGCGCTTTCACTGAACCGAGTAATTGGTAGCAGTTGTTACGGGCCACGCGTTGGCGTTGAGATGATGCGCAAGGCGGGGCAATGGTTGACTAGATTGCTCCGAATGGAGAGCGAAAAGAAAAGAGAGAACTAGATGACAGGAAGAGAGGGCAGCTCTTATATGCTCCGGAACACACAGACACTGCCTGCCTCAGGATGACGTTATCATGATACCACGGCCGAGGGTTGCCGAGGCCATCATGGGCTCAGCCCATCACAGCAGTAGCAGTATCAGCTTGTCGATGCCTCCGCTGCTGCTGCCGTAAGGGTGTTGTGAGCTCAAAGCTCTGAAGATGCTGGGGAAGTCTCGACTGCCGGGCAGGGCGATTTTACTGGTGTGGTTGGTGTTGACGGGCGAGGCATCGAGTCTAAGCCAGGGCACTGCGAAAAAGGCTCGCTGGGCTGCTGGGAAGCCAATTCTGCAGCTAATTCCGTGGCACGGTCGTCATAGAGGGCTTTCCACTCTTCTAGATACTCCGAAACGAATTCTATGCCGGTCATGAGCTCCCACAAGTGCCCATGGCTGCCGCTGGGGGCATGTCCCTGTGTTCTCATCGTGAGGCTGTAGATCGGCTCTCGAGGACGTGTTGGATATCGTTAAGAAGCCTCCAATCGTCAGTGGTCAAATGATCCTGACGAGGTAGCTGTGACGAGGCAGTGCCAAGTTCAAGGCTCAACAAGTAAGCGCGAATCTCTGCTTGCTTCTCCCAAGCTCGCTTGATCATCAGATAGGTCGAAGTCCACCGCGTCGCGTTGTTCTGCCTTAGTTCAAGCTCCTTGGAGGATGCCTCTGAAAAGATGAAGTCCTCAGCGTCCTCAGGGTCATCACACTCTTGGGCGATGTTCCGGGAAGCCTCACTGCGTTGCTGTGAGGCTCTGATAAACTTGACGATGTTGTGAAGCTTTCCGATTGGCCCCTTGCGCCGCCAATGCTCGAGGCCCTCTTGGTACTGGCCAAGATCATCGTAGAAATCAGACTGAATCTCAAAAGCATCGCTCTCTTCGCCGAAAAGGAAGGCCTTCGCAACTAGATTCAGAATGGGACAGAAGCATCGGATCCGTCGTGCCTTGACATCGTCGTTATCCATCTGGGGTATAAACCGAGGGAAGAAAGACCGTAGACAAACGTCGTTACATGAAGCATTGTCGCAAAGTGCTACTCCAAGCCTTGAGCCGATTCCCCAATCCTTGACGACTTCCTCGAGGGTGTCAGCAATGTTCTCGCCGGCGTGGGTGCCTATATACTCCTTGACGGTGCCATCTGGATTCAATTCGGCGAGGAAGAACCCCTGGAACCCAATCCAGCTCCGACGGCCTTTTCTTTTCTTCTTCTGTATGCGTGACTCGAGAACCAAGTGGCGCTGCTGCCAGATAATCTTCGGGACGTCGGATATTGTCGAATTGCCCACAGGCGCATTTTGACTGGCGTCCTCGACCAGCTTGATGAAGTTAGGGCGCGAAACGCTCCGTTGGGGCTGTCCGGGCAAGGAGAATGCTTTAGGCTTCGCGCCTCCGGGCGAAATAAATTCCATCCATCCATCCAAGGAGAATGCCGAGGGAGTTTGTCCATGCCCTGATGGGCTTGATGGAGCGGAACATGACATCGAAGAGGGTAAGAAATAGATGCTCTGCCGGACCACGCAAAAATTATGAATGGCTTCAAACGCCGCGCAGCAGCTGCAGTAGCAGGTGGGTTAGGCGAGCGGAGGCTCGACGCGTTGGTCGTGCCATGCTTTGCTCTTTCTACCAATCAGGAGCCGTCCTCAGGATGCCGAGGCTCAGAGTAAAACTTGTTGATCTGAAGGCCCGGAGCCGGAACAAGATTTTCTCCGGGGTCAGAGGGCAACCAGATATTTGCAAATATTGTTTTTATATATTTGGTTTGGTTGATCTGAGCCCTTGTTGGAACTGAATTGAGTTGGTTTACTTTGATTGAAACGATTGATCTGTAAATTGATCTGACGGCAGCGCTGGGCTGAGGCTGATTACCTCCAGAGCCACGCCGAGATGCGATCCTGGACAGAGATTTCCAGCCGCGACGAGCGGGTCAAAGAGAGTTGTTGTATTAGTGTGAATGATGACGATCGGCATATCCGGTTACAGGGTTGTCGGGTTGGTAGGTCGTCGTCTAAACTTATAAAAATATAACGTGAACCGACGTTCGTAAGAGGTATAATACACTCACGCTATCTCACAGCTAGCTAGATTGAATATTCAGATCTGTAAAGGTGCTCGCATGCTGGCCAGCATGTTCCTCTAGACGGAATATGAGGGTCAAATCAAACGGTCTTGAGCGACAATAGAAGAAACAACAACCAGGCGCGCAAGGCATGCAAGGTGGCACTCTCCGCTTGCGATTTTCCCGTCGTTGCTGGCATTGCACTGCTAGGTAGGAAGGCAGTGCCTGAAATCCGAAAATTGACGGTCCAGTGAATTGACCGGTGTTCCTTGACTGTCCGGTTGGACGCACCATTGTGGCTTTGTGTCACTGCGGTGGAGGCGTCTCCTGGAGTCATAGTGCTACCTGTCTTCAACTGAAGCAGCAAGGTATTTCTTGCCTGGCTATTCCGCTGGTCATGTTAAACACGGGATGTTGACAGTGCTCCGCCCTCACCATCACGCGGCACTCTGGATGGCGGGATTATCCCGGGTTTGGCAACGTTTCAGTCAATCTGAACAGAGTCGCATCTTGTCTATAACTGGGCATCCACCTAATCTGATTCATAACCCGTTCAACCATCTCCAAGAATTATTCCCTACAGCGAAAGGAAGAGATGGAGAAGAGAGAGGAAAGACAAGAAAGGAAAAAAGAAAAGATAGTCGCCTCACACACCATCACAACTCCAGCATCGGTACCGTCTCATTCACCCACCGCCCCATTCCCAGCGCCAAGCGCCGCTCCCGCGGCTTCAACAACGTCCGACAAAGCCCATCGTACCCAGCCCAATCACTATCGACACAAAGCGCAATCAACCGCCCCGCGACCTGGCACGGGCGGAACTGGTCCCCGCCCTCCTGGCCCAGGTACATAACATACCTGCGCCCAGCTCCCGAGACATACACCACCGTCGACAAGCCATTCTCCCACGACGTAACCCTGCCGGTTCCGCAATCAAACTCCCCACCAGACTGGTCAATCAGACAATTCGGTGAGAGGATGGTCAGGCACTTGATGGAGCGCGAGCACATGAGCTCGCCGTTCTCGTAGACGGACAGCATGACCTCGGTGTCGATCGGGTGCATCTCAATGCGGATCAAGGCCAAGACGCAGGATACCCGCTCCGCCCTCGCGCAGAAGCCCTGCTGGCAATTGGTGTACACGGTGCAGCCGCCTGTCTCGTGACCGCCGCAGCCCCAGGGGATGTCTTGGCGTTTGTTGAGGGTGAATGGGGCGAGATTGAGGTCGAGGGCGGAAGTGGTGTTGTCGGTGCTGATGCCGTTGTTGTCAGCTACCGCCGCTGCCGGGACAAGGTCATCGAGAGTCGCGTCTTCTGGTATTACTACGGGGTCTAATGACACTCTTGGCTTTTGTTGTTGTTGTTGTTGCTGCTGCTGCTGCTGCTGCTGCTGTGGCTGGTCGCGGCGGTGGAAGAAGCGGCCACCGACCGCTTGTGCCGCCGCTGATGGAGTGGGTGTGGGCGTAGGCGGGGAAGGCGGCTCCGTCAAGCGCGCCTCGACAGTCCGCTGCTTCAGCGCACACAGCGTTACCTGAGTTGTCCGCAGGCATGTGGGGAAATCGGGCGGGCACCGGGGCCTGCCGATGGTGGGCCAGGCTGGGCACGGCGCGTGCGTCGGGATGCAGATTCTGTCGGTAACGCACACGGATTGCCCGCCGCTGCCGTTGCAAACGGTTGTCGGCGTGTACGTCGCGCACCCGGGCCCGCTGTACGGCCCGTCCTCGTCGAGCGGTGGTAGCGTTGGTGTCGCGCACGAGCTGGAGGGGACGCACACGGATTGCCCGCCGCTGCCGTTGCACACGGTCGTGGTTGTGTACGAGGCGCACGACGTACTGCTCAGCGTGGACAGGGAGCGCGTCGGCGTTGCCGTTGTCCTCCTCGTCGGCTGGTGTGCCGGGTCCTCCGGGTCCCAGCGATCCGGTGGGAAACCCGTTGGCTGTGGCACACAGTAGTAGCCCCTGCAGAGCGTGCCGCAGCCGGGGGATCCCGGGACGCACGTCGGCGACGCCGGACCCGGGCTGAAGGTGATGGGTTCGCCGATGGCGCCTGGCCCGCGGCCGCCGCCGTTGCCCGGTCGCACGACGCACACACCGGCACGCCTGGCAAGCCTTTGCGATGGTGTTCCCGGCTGCGAGCACCCAGCGCCGAAGGGCTCTAAGTCCTCGATCTTGCCACGTGGGCAGCTGGGGTGCGCGTCCGGATTGACCAGGCAGTTCTCGCCGCTGTGTGTGCCGGACCATATGAAGGGGACTTTGTCGAGATTCCGGTGGTCGGCGGGGAAGTTGTACTCCGCGTCCTCCTCGTCGTCGAAGAAGACCTGCGACTTGTCGAGACCTCGGGCGAGGTCCTCGTCCAGGATCACCCGTTGCATGTAGCGCAGCAGCTTCTTCACGTTGGCGGGCTTCTTAAGCTCCTCTCCCCACCCGTTGGCGATGTTGGGGAGACTGCGCCAGTAGGCCACCAGGCCTGCGACCAGGGGAGTTGCTGTTTTCATCGAGTTAGCCGCCATGATCTCTCACTCTACTTGGAAACAAGGATGGGGAATGAAGAGGCAGAGGAAGAAAGAATTCAGCTGAGACGACGAACCAAACGAATTGCCAATCCCTCCCCAAACGATGGCGTCAGGGGTATCAGCCAGATACAGCTGGAATGCCGGGGCCATGATCAGCCAGTCGGCGTACGGACTGTGCGCGGCGAGCCGTCCCGTGGCGTCGACGCCGCCGACGACCACCATGCTCTCGATCGTTCTCCCGGCCCCGGATCCGGGATCGGCAAAGAGGAGCGGGAGGCCGGTGAAGTCGTCGCCCAGCTCGACAGCGTTGTTGTGGGCGGTCGTGATGATGGTCACGTCCAGGTCCTCGAGGGCTTTGAGAATTTCGTCTATTTAATTGCAAAGCGGTCAGCGTTGAGACCATGGTGGCTTTGGCATGAAAAGGCGGACGAGGAAAAAAGGGGGTAGCACTTACATAACCTTCTCGCGAAGATTGGCCTAATCACGGCGAAGTGGGTGGCGCGGGTGAGCGAGTGCGACCAGGATGCGATGATTTTGCCTCTCTGGCTGGGGTCCGCAGCATATATTCTCTTTACCTCGTTATGCACTCGGATCCAGCCCTCGATGTGGCGCTCAAGGATCAGGTTGTACCCGTCCGCGGGCGGGCTGCGGCGGTCCGTGACGACAATCACGTTCGCCCTCTTGGCCATGCCGAGCTGCCAGCCGGTAACCTTGCTGATGACGGGCGTGCCGTGGCTGACGCTCGGCGGGGCGTTGAACTGGTCTCCGCCCCAGTCGAACTCGGGCAGCCTGCGGATCGCCGGTCGCGAGAAGGGCTCGCCGTCGATGAAGTGATCATCGGAGAATTCTGGGTTCTGGTCCCAGAAGTCGTCCTCGAGCACGAAGATTGTCTGGCCCGCGCCAAACGACTCGTCGGCAGCGTAGTACATGTCGTGGCCCACGTCTCTGCTGTTCTCCCTGCCGGGCCTCCATTCGGCGTCCCATTTCTCGCCGGGGCCCACCTCAATCTGAGAAAGCTCCCAGAAAGGTGTGGACATCTCAAATACATCCCTGCGCTGTAAGTTCGACCTCTTTGTAGAGCTGTCGTCCGAGTCGTTCGAGTCGCCATCGTCCGGCTCGGGTGGAGGGCCGTGCATATTATTGCTGTAGATTCCGTACGCGTCGGCGACCTCGAGCGTCATACCCTTGAGATCGGCGATGTGGCAGAGTTTCATGTTGGGTACGAAGAAGAGGACGACCCAGTCGCCGCCGCCATTGCCGTCCCAACTCTGTGCCTTGATCTCCTTGTAGTCGCCGTAGTTGGGGCGCCCAGGCATCTCCGGGTCGTTCTCGTTGCTGGTGAGGTAGTTCTTGATTGTGGCGACGTCGTCGGCATCACCGGGATACCGGAGCCAGATCATGGCGTGGTCACGGCCATCCGGCGGAGCGGCCCTCTTTGCCACTTTTTTGTTCTTTTTCTTGGCTGCCGCCCGGATTGTGTTGTTGTTCTTCGGGCTGTTGCCGTCCATGACGAGGGAGGCAGGCTCAGCAGTGGCAGCAGCAACTATCACGGGCGGGGCGGTGCGTGCGGCGATGGGGCTGCATGACCTGCCGCGGGTGCTGGTGGTGTCGTAGTCGCCGTCGGTCAGCACGCAGCCGCGGATGGTGTCGCACGTCGTTGTCGCCGACGACGTGATTGTGCTAGTCGTTCCGTCCCTTACTGTCGTCGAGATGAAGGTCGACGTGCTGCAAATCTCGGCCTCCTGAGTCTCGCAGTTGGTGGGCTGGGCCGTCGGGAAAGTTGGCTTGCCGTCTCTGCCGATCCTGTTTACATGACACGTCAGTTAGCTTAGTATCAGGGGAAGGTAAGTGGTGGGGGGTATATAAAGGCTAGGTGCGCGTGCTTCCCATCAAGGAAACCGGTTTCCGTTTTGGTAACACAAGACAAAGGTGCGAAAAGCGGGATGGTGGTTAGGTAATAAATGAGATCAATGCCTACGTGATGCGCGGCCACGGTCCCGGCAGCGTTCCCCTGACTGTGACACCCGGCGGCCATCTGATGGGCGGCGGGCCGATTATGACGACGGGGCCAGGGAAGTTCCAACGCCAGCCTCGGATCTTGATATTGCCCCAGTCGATGCAGATCTTCGGACAGACAGTGAGTCAGCCTAAAGATTCAAAAAAGAAACAAAAAGGCTGGAAATGATGGCTCACGAAGAAAAACCACAGTCGGCACGACGACGTCTCATCATCGTCGTCCTCCTCTCCATCTTCCTCCTCCCACACGAGCTCATAGCCCGGCGGGAATTCGGTCATTGTCGGGGTGGGCTCCGACACGCCGGTCCAGCGCGTGCAGCCGAGCGTGAAGTCGACCGTGGTGGGCTCGTCGATCTCAATTGTCCTCGTGGCCGGGCAGTCCCAGCGCAGCGTCGTGCCGCCCTGGACCTCGTCGCAGCCGCTCAGCGTGATCACGGCGTCGTGCTCGGGCACATAGTGCGTGTTGGGTGGGCACGTGAAGAAGACGCCGGGCGAGGTGTAGGTCGAGTCCGGGAACGTTACGGTGTAGGGGGGCCGGGTCCCGCCACCAGAGGTAGTTCTGCTGCGCGAGGTTGCCGTCGACCCATTACCGCCACCGCCGCCCCCCGGCCAGGTCATGATCTGCGGCCACGGCGGGAGCGTGACATTGCGCGTCGTCACCACGCCGTTGGGCTTGGTGACGGGTATGCCGACATTCGGAAACGTCACGCTCGGAGTGACCCAGAAGGGAGCGCCCGGGGACTCGCCGCGCGTAACGTTGTGGTTGGACACGGGCAGCACGTCGGTCACGACGGTGCCGATGGTGATGGTGACGACGGTCGTCGTCACGGTGAAGGTGCCGCCCTGCGATGCGCCGACCTCGAGTTCGGTGGTGTAGGGTGGCACCGCGATGGTCGTCGGGCTGCGCAGCGATGTGTGCGGCATGACGAAGACGCACGGCGGCGACGCGCACTGCGCTGTGTGCCACGTGTACACCTCAGGTCCGATGTATACTACCTCGCCGCCGGGTTTGCCGTCCTCGGGGAACCACAGGCTGATCTCGCTGGTGTAGCCTTGCTGGTTGCCGTCGGAGAGCAGGATGCTGCTCTCTTCGGTGTTACCCGTGCCAATCTCCTCGACGGCCTTGGAGAAGATGTTGAAGATGGACACGTCCTTGGACCCGCGCACCTCCATGATCCGCTGCTGGCAGTTCTCGGTCTTGAGGCACGCCTGCCCGTAGTTGTTGAACCAAGAGTACAGCCCTGCGCTGTGCAGCATGATACCCTCTGAGTCAATGATGCGCAAGCCCCACGCCATCTCGCACGTCTCCTTGGTGCAGTCAGCCCAGTCCGGGTCGCCGGGGAACACTCCCAGCGCCGCATCCATGGGCGACGGCGAGACGGGCTTGGGCTGGAAGTAGGGGGACTCAGTCTGGATGTGGCCCAGGTAGACGTTCTTGGCCCCAAGCATCTCGTATTGGTAGAAGATAACGTGCTCGCTGCCAGACCCATAAATCCACACGGGGCCCTGCGACTCGATCAGCACGCCGCGCGCGCCAAACAGCGAGATCTGCGACTTTGACGAGTCCAGCTCCCAGTACAGCGACATGTCGTTATCGTGGTCGGCGACCCAGGCCCAGAAGTTCTCAAAGTAGCCGCTCGCCTGCTTGGTGACGTGCAGCAGCATAGAGACGCAGATGCACACGTCGTTCTCGCTGAACTTGGGGCACGTCGCGATGTCCAGGTTGGTCCCGATGCCGCCGCCAACGCGAATGTGCGAGTCCCACAGCGCCGCGGCGCCCTGGGAGCTTCCGTGCACGTTCCACTCCATCATGATGGCGCCCGCCGTCGGGCCTTTGACGGTGAACAGCATGTCGACGATCTCCATGGCGCCCACGTCGCCCTCCTCGCCGACGCGCACCACGACCTTGGGGTTGGCCATGTCGCCGAAGTAGCTGCCCGTGGCCTGGATCTGCGACCAGCCTGTCCCCTGGATCCGGGACCCGGTCGGGAACGTTACAGTGCCCTGCACCGAGTAGATGCCCGCGGGGAAGTAGGCGACCTTGCCGGCCGCGACGGCCTGCTGCAGGAACGCGTTGATGGCGGCCGTATTGTCTCCCGTGGCATCGTTGCGGCAGCCGTGTTCCGTGGCGATGAGAAACGCTGACGCCGGCAGGTCCTCGTACTGCGGTCGCAGGCGCGTAAAGAGCTTGCCCTCCCCGTCGAGCAGTGGCTCGGGCTTCGTGGGCCGGTTCTCGACGTGGCCCGTCACGCGCTCCCCCTGGCCACCGATGTAGCGGCGACCGTGGGCCCACAGGCCAACGATGGTGGTGCCGCCAGGAAGAAGTGTCTCGCCGCCCTCGACGATCACAATGGCGCCGACATTGTTGAAGGCCGTGTTGTCGATGACAATATTGGGCGGCGCGGTGGCGTGGTTGTTGGTCAGCACGCCGATGGGCACATTGCTCACGGTCGAGTCGATGATGGACACGGAGCCGATGCCCTGGCCGTCGATGCCGCCGCGACCGCTAATGTTGAAGGCGATACTGCCGCCCTCAATGTCGATCTTGTGCCTTATTTTGTCCAACAACGTCAATCAGAAATTTCCTAACCGGCCAAGTCCTGATTCAACGTACCAGTTGAAGCCCCAGTCCCACACCATCTGGATCGCCGTGATACAGTTTCGGAACTTAAGCGACGTGGCCGTGTACTGCTGCGAACCGACGCGCCAGCCGATGGCGCCGCCCTCGAACACCAGGTCCGACACGAAGCCGCCGGAACCGTTCTCGGTGAAGATACCAACGTGGGTGGGCGGCGCGCCAGAGGGGCCTGCCGTGGGCATGCGGAACCGCAGGTTCTGCAGACTGCAGGCCTGGCTGACCTGCCAATGGATCCCCGTGGGCACCAGCTTCTGCCCGTTCTCGTCCGTGGCCGCCGGCATCTCCCTAAGGTCAAAGACAAAGTTGCGGATTTGGCGGAAGAACTGGGCCAACGACGTCAGTTTGTTTGGGGCTTTCTGGGAGCAAATGCGCAGTCTAGGGAGTAGGATGGTGCCCGAGACAGCCAAAGGGGTACAAACAAAGAAATTTGTTGTACCTGGTTCTGGTTGATGTACCAGTTGACGCCAGTGCCGTCGGGCTGCGCGCGATTGGGCACGTAGGGGTCCACGTCGATGAGCGCGATGCCCGTAAACTCGTCACAGCCCTTGATGATAGGCCTGTCGTGCGGATCGCCGACGAACTGCGTCAGGTAGTATTGGATGATGGGCGTGCAGACCTTGTACGTCCCGGGCGGGAAGTAGATGAGCGCGCCAAGGACAAACGTGTTTCCGCACTCCTCGCCGCACCGGTTGCCGTCGACGATGGCGGCATTGATGGCCTCTTCGGTGTTGGTGGCGCCCGTGTTGTCGGCGCCGTAGTCCAGCACGTTTCGATAAAAAACATAGCCATCTCCGGCATGGGGAGCCTTGCCTAGCGGCCCTAATGTGGGGAGCCAGAAGCTGGCCCCCTGGCGGCCTTTTAGCGTGCTGCTGTTGGTGTGTGTTACAGTGGAGTTGGGAACGAGACCAGCCGCTTTCCTCTCGGCAAGCTTCCTCATGTAGTTCTCGAAGCTGCCGGACTCGCGCCAGACGGGGCCATTGTATTGTCCTGCATCGCACGTCAGCCTCGCCGTGATATGCATACGAACGAAGGAGAACTTGGAGAAGAAGAGACAGGCAGCTGGATAAAACTGATACCTTTGTTGGGAGCAACGCCTCGCTTGTTGCCCGTATTGTCCACCATGTACTCGGGTGTCTCAGGGGGTGCGTGCTGGAACTCCGGCGGGAAGGACGCGACACGCGCCGGGCCCTCAAGCGCCTCCCATTGATTGTCGACTTGGGCGAGGGAAATGGTGGTACTATCGAGTAACACCACCAGGGAGACCATCAGTCTCCTGAGGGACCCCATCATCGTGGTGCTCTGGCTGGGCCTTGATAAGGTACCCGCAGAGACCACGAAGGCAGAACGAATGTTAGAAAAGCAGAGCGAGCAACTGAAGTGGCTCTGGTGAGGCACTGAGGTCAGAGCACCAACGACAACAGAATGTACCTACATATTAATATATGCCACGGAACACTGCCGCACTTCATCCCTCTGTGAGGTCTGTTCCCCCGACCCTCAAGGTGTGGAAGTGTATATCCCCAGCATGGGTCGGTCATCTCTCTTCCTCGTACTATTTGCTGGACAGGGCAGTACGGAGTAGGCGAAAGAGGCCCTGCTTGTGACCACGCCAGGTGCCTTGCAGACGCCAAGTGTTGGCCGTCGGGAACCAACTGCTACGTAGAAACATCACCAGCACTGCTTGTGCGGACGAACCCGGCCGAGTACCTAGTTCTGTAAGCCCGAAGGTAACTCTATAGCCCGCCCCCGTATGTCAGCTTGGCCCCCAGGTGTCAACGAAGGTATCAATACACGCGGCACGGCGTCAGCGTACCAATGTGACGAATTGTCTCTGTGACGCATAGCGCCGGCCACCCATCGGCAACATGGGATTTGGTAGGGTGTAGAGAGTCGGTGCTGACGTGAGACGGTGAGGACTACCTTATATCTTGGGCGGCACAGCAACTTGAGTGGTACATGCGGTACCATTCTGGCTCCCGCTGAGCCTTCCTTGGACAACATTGAGCCTATTTCGCCAGCCAGGAAATTGTCGCTCGATCAGGCAGGTGCACGGTCAGCCTTGCAGCGCAGCTCCGAGTCGCCTTGCAGGCAGGAACACTCGGGCCTTACAGGAAAATATTGACGCAGCAGCTTCTTTCTTTCTTGGCTATGCATATGGTCGGTCGCCGGCCCGGTGCCTGGACTCCAACATGTTGCTTTGTGAAGCTCACTCCCATGCGTGATGATGTTGCATCTCCAGCTCATTGCATCTGCCATGTGACTCTAGGCCGCCGGTGGCCCTCGTCCGTTCGGTCCCGACCCTGCCGGAGCTCGCTTGCACCGATGGGGAGGGGATGGCGCGGAAGTCTATAAAAGCACGGTGGTGAACTCCCTCGATTTCACATACCGCTTCCACGGACTTTCGCCCTCAACCGCTTCAGTCCTCTCTTGCGCTGAATCCAGTCGCCACTTGCCATACTCCCCGAAGCTCGGACGACAAGCAACATCACCTCAGGATGCGACCCTGTCAGGTGCTCGGCGCTTTCGCCATGGCCGGCGGTGTCTCTGGTGCCGCTGTGCACAAAAGGACTTGTAAGCGACCTCGTGCATGACGCGAACAGCAGCAGCCGAGCTGACCGTGGCCCTTGCCCACTCTGCACAGGCTTCTTCCCCGAGCCGGAGCGCCGCATCTGCTACTCGGAGCCGGGCGGCACGCCGCAGAACCTCGACTTGCGCGAGGTCAACTTCGTTGCCCAGTACCTACGCGCATACGAGCAGCAGCAGCTCTCGCAGGGCGGGTCGCCGTTCTGGAAGATGCCGCTCCCCGAGGCCGACAACTGCGGCGAATGGCAGGTGACGAGCAAGGGGCGCACCTGGGTCATGGCCAAGCTCGTCGGCGACGAGCAGGCCGGCGTGCTGTTCTCCGACATCGCCAACACCATCGACGGCCTCAACCTGGCCGACCCGTCCAAGGCGCTGCTCAACTGCAGCACCGCCGGCGGGCAGATGGCCACCATCGTCGACGACACCAACCCCTACTACCAGACCCAGCTGTTTGACGGCTTTACCAACAAGGGCATCATCATCAAGCTCGTCAAGAGCCCCTCGTGAAGTGCATCCGGTCTGTGATCAGAATCTGGGCAGGGCTGTCGGGTTGATGGGAGCAGGAGCTTGAATGACTGCTATGAACATGCCTTTCGCCAGCTCGGCCAGCGTCCTGTAGCCATCTCGTTGTGTTAGTACGGATGGTCAATAATACATCGTACTGCTGATGGCATTTTAACCTGACGGTACCAAACTGGCGGGGATATCTCACCTCATCACCCCTCACCCACCCCGCGTAGCGTTTGCCCTGCGACTCGGCCTTGTAGGCTTCGGCTGCGCCAACCGTGCCTTGTCGTATGATTCCTGCAACTCCTCGTCAGACGGAGGCGCAGCCGTGAGCCATCCCGTCTCGTACACGGGTATGCGCGTCTTGAGCAGTTCGACGCGACGCCGATCGTAGAACACAAACCCCAGCCAGCGCCACCTGTCCCTATTTTCCCGCACCCAGATGCGCTGACGAGCCGTGCTTGTGCCCTCCTCCTCCTGCTCCTCCTCCCCTGGCACCACCTCTCGGCGCACTTGGTCGCCCCAGCGCTGGCAGTCCAGCCCGCCGTGCCCGTCGACCCACGCAAATGGCGGCGCCGCATCATCGTTGCCGTCCCCCTCATACACCAGTTGCGGCAGTGCGTCCTCGTGCCGGTACAGCTCGTCGCGCAGTGGGCGGAACTCGCGAGCCACGGAGTGAGACCCCGCGCTGTGGCCCGGCAGCGGGCCCGCGCGGAGGAACCGGAAGCGCGCCGTAAGAACCATGCCGGCCGGGGGTATGGCGCGAAACCTCCGAGGGCCGAGGTTGTTAGACGTGCTGTTGCTGTGCGCTCGCTCGGCCTCAACCAGCGCGCCGTGCAACCCGCACAGGTCGTCAAATGCCGCGTCCCTCTTGCGGTCCCACTGTTGAGACACCCGCTGGTCCAGGCTGGGCAGGCCCCTGAGTGGGGGGAAAGCGCGCCAGACTAACTCGTTCAGGAACGAATGCGCCTCGGCCAGCTGTTCTATCTTCCACGGTTTGAAGAGGCGGAGAAACCGGTGCATCATGGCGGTCTCGCGCGGGAGGTGCTCGCCGGCCTCGACGCGCAGCAGGCGGTCGCCGTACTCGATACGCGCCAGGACCTGGTGGCGCAGCAGGGCGCGGGCCAGCCGGCGGCGCTCGGCGGGCGTCAGCGGGCCGCCGGCGTCCGGGTGGATCTTGCGCAGCTCCGGCAGCCTGGATTCTGCAAACTCGTCGACGAGGAATTGCACGCTGCGGTTGAGCCGGGAGAGTTGGATGACAGCAGCGGTGGGCAGGGCGATCGTCGAGGATAGCGCGCCATCGGCGCCGTGGGGGAGCGCCTCGTATCGGCGGATGACGCGCTCACACTCGTCCAGATAGGTCGGGCCCCGGCAGTTGAGCCTGGTGGGCGTCAGTAGTAAAGCGGCGACAGCGTCGCGCAGCGCGGCGCCCAGGTCGTTGGTCACGATGCTGAGCAGCACCTCCCGCTTTGCCGACACGAAGATCTGGTAGAGCCTAGGTGAGGCGCTGATGAGCGAGCGGAGGTCCGCCGTGGAATGCGCAGCCGACAAGAGTGCCACGAGTACCTCGGTAGGCAGAGACTCAAGAGCCAAGCTCCGGTTCGGGTCCTGCATCTGCTCCTGCTCCTGCTCCAGATGCCCGCACGTGTCGAGGCCCACTCGCTCCATCGTACAAAAGTCAGATTGAAACGCGCTTAATGCGCACGGCAGCATGCCAGGTTGTCGTTATCTATGTGAGAAAGGCAGCACTCTCAATTCCGCTTAACTCAAGAAGAATGTTGGGACGAGAGAAGCTAAATGCAAAGAGAGAGAGTATGGGTGTTTTTTTTGGGGGGGGGGGGGGGGGGGGGGGAGAAGGGGAAGCTTGCAAACTGATGGGCAAACCGCCGTCAATGATCAATCTGCACAGCTGACGTTGATGACTCAGCAGTTCGACCCAAACCCTTTCCGATGTTTTCCAGACGATATCCCGTTCGCGTTCCCAGTTCATGGCCGCCTCCGTAACAATCACAAGCGGCGCCGGCGATGGAGGCCAGAATGCATCGCTACTTCGCTCACACTCATCAAGTCCTCCAAAAACGCGTCCTAGCGTCGTGTTGGCACCCGATGGTTGCCCCACTGTTCCAAGCAGCGCTCTCAACAACTCAAATATAGTCAAATTAACGCAAATCAAATCAACGCAAATCGACGCAAATTAAGCTTTTTGGAATATTTGCAAGTCAACTCTTACCCCCAATTTGCGTTGTTTAATTTGGCTATATTTGCCCAGCCACTTATAACCCCAACCCTGCCCAAGCTCAGCCATTTCCATTCTCCCCTCCCGAGTCGTCCCCTCCCGTGACCTCGGGTCTTCTTGGCAACCCACAAAATATCCAGCAAACGCATGCCCGCGGCCTCGAAGATTCAGGAGAGATACGCACAGACACACAGTCCGCAG